CCCCACCCCAATTTACTGAATCTGTACTTTAAATTCTTCTTCTCTGTGTTACTTACTTGGACAACAATCTCTAAAGTATCCAAAATGATTAGGTTTGCTTCCGTTGCTAGGTTTCCATCGATCAGTGCTTCATGTTCAATCTCTGCTCTTGACCTAATACAAAATATTTTAAGAAATTATATTTACCTTTCGAAAAATTCAGTAGCTCTACAATTCAAAACAGACTTAAAAAATGCACAGAAATGAAAAAACCTGAAGCCATTTTCAACATCTGCCTACGTGAAAGTGTAAGAGAATAAGGAAAAAGGCAACATTTTACATATTAAAAAATGTGTTACCTTATTCTTCATTTTTTCCACCATGCCAATACGCATTTTCTCACCCCATTATAATACTTCAATGCCACTAAAAGCATAAATGTTCAGCTTTCAAGTTAAGACACAGCAAACACAGAAAAACATATTATTTTATTTTGAATGGCATTGACACTAGGTGGTGCTGTGTGAATATTTATTTTGGGCTACTTCAGGTAAAGCAACATTCAAAATGTTTAGTACTTATTTTACCATTTCAAGGATTTTCAATGTATTTATTCCAAAAAACTTTTATACATCTACTCTCAGGAAATAATTTAATACTTCAGTGAGACTCGAGATGAAATCACTCATTAGGAAAAAACAATTTGATGCAATAAAGTGGTTTACTTGAATACTGCTATTTATAGAACTGTCGTTTAATTAAAATTAAAAATTTAAGAATAACTACATATGATCTGTGGGTAAAGTCGACATTTTTGTTTTAGTAGCTATAGATATATAGAAACCATATACAAGTAGACAAAATAACACAGAAATCAAAGTGAAAGTACTAAAACATACTAAATGTTAACCTTCAAAGCTCTTAGATCTGCAAGACTCTGAATCTTTATTACCACCACTAAAGAGAATACTTCATGAATTTATGTGTTACACATAAAATTTTAGGATGAAATACAACATAGTTATCAGAATTAAATTAGAAAAGAATATACAGGATATTCAAATTTTAACACTGAAAATTTCCAGTGAGATTTTTTTTTAAGAAACATAAAAATAACAAGATGGTTTTTAAAAAAAGAAAATCAGGAAAATGTCAAAGAGTCTTCCTTAAAACACAGCAAGATAACCTGAGAAAACATGTTCTACAAATGCAGAACTAAAGCAGAATAATAATAGTGTAACACCTGGCTGCTTTGTGATTTTGGAAAAAAAAAATAACCCATGCAGAAAAACAATCAGAGCAATGGATTCAAATAGAGAAAAGAAGAAAGCACATATGCAAAGCTTAAGAATTTAACATATTTATATTATATTTGGAGCCCTAGTGGTGTAGTGGTTAAGAGCTCGGCTGCTAACCGAAAGGTTGGCAGTTCAAATCCACCAGCAGCTTTTGGAAACCCGATGGGGCAGTTCTAGTCTGTCCTATAGGGTTGCTGTGAGTTGGAATCAACTCGACGGCAATGGGTATATTATATTCAGCGTATAATTCTAAACTCTCATCTATATGGTACTGAGTCTGCTGTTTCTATCTTTACTGGCTCTCACAATGCCTTGTTTCCTTGTGTTTATGAGCTAATATGTCTCAAAGTTTATTTGTGAGAATTTTCTGAGGCTGGGCTGAAGATGGTTCTCAGATAGGATGACCAACCATTCTGGTTTGTCCTAGGACAGTATTGAGAACTCTGGCATGTGGGATGTTCAGTGCTTAAAACCAGGAAAGTTCAAGGTGAACCAGAATGAGTTGGTCACTTTATTGTCAAATTAAAGTTTTTCAGGCCAGTTAGCTACTTGCAGGTTAATTTGTGATTAAAATTCTCAAGAGAAAAATTTTAGCCCCTCTCCTCAATGCCAAGTTTCAGCCCAGGCAATTTTATTTGCAGTCACCTAGGTGGTAGGAAAGGTTTATTTAGCCCCTCTCCTCAATGCCAAGTTTCAGCCCAGGCAATTTTATTTGCAGTCACCTAGGCCGTGGGAAAGGTTTATTTCAAGTTCCTCTTACACTGAAATTGCAGACTTTTAGGGTCCCAGACTCAAGTAGTAAGTATAAAAAGTAGTCTCTAATCAGATTCCTCAATTTGGGCAGGTTTCAGGCTTTCTTGTTCCTTCAGCCTTGCCAGGCCTTGAGCAATTTCACCCTGTTCAGCAAAATCCCTTAAGACAAAAACCCAGTGTCTGTTCCACCTCCCTGGGTTCCTGACTTCACTTTATTTCAGTACTCTTAGCATTCCTTATTTTCTTGTCAGGTCATTGATGCATTTAAAAGAAGTTTTTATATTTTATCTATCATTTTTAGTTGTTTTTGGCAGTAGGGTCAGTGTACCTTGTTTGCCTTAGTGCCAGAAACAAAGTATATCTGTATTGTTTTGCCTTTTCTCTCCAAAAGAGCAAAGATTAGTTTTCTAATCTTTAAAATATTTAGTTCAGTGTGATAGCTAAAATGCATTCAGAAAACAGTTGCTGAATACATTCTGCAAGGGGATATATTGGGGAAAATGTGCTTTAAAATATAATAATTTGTTTTACTATACTACAATGAAATATTATTTCTCAAAATCTCTTTTAATCTAAAATTAAAAAAAATATATAAGTATTTTGTCTTCTAAGATTTTCAAGTCTAATATACATAAAGTAACACTAAAATTAATCATTTTCCTGTTGCATTTGAAATCCAACAAGACCATAAGTCACGTAAAATATGAGGTTACATTACTTGTCAAGCTTCTCTGTGTTTTGACGCCAATGTGTCATATCCTTTCTCCACCTCAGATTTTCTTGACTTCCAAAGGCACTTCCAGATGGGCTTCTCTCTGTCAAATACATTTCAAGACCAATTCAAAATTTTTATATCAGTTGGACCACATATATGTATATTTGAAGACATAAGAAATACTGCCTATGCCATTAATTTTATACATAGCCATTTTATTCTAAGGTGCAAGTGGAAAAACCTGACAAGTTTGTTTTTTATTAAGAATTTTCACAATAGTTACAGAAGATATGTACTGTACTACATGGAATATAAAAAATAAACATCTTTTTAAATAAGTGAACTTTCTAATATTGACTTCATTCAAAATCTTAATCATGACTTACAAGGCCCTTACATGATCTGACTTCACTTCCTACCACTCTCCCTCCCCCTATTGCTTACACTACTACAGTTATTTTGTTCTCCTTGCTGTTCTCTAATACTATATATGCTCGTGATTTAGGACTCTTGGAATTATTGTTGTTTCTTCTGTCTGATTTGTCTTCCCAATAACTCAGTCACTTCTTTCAGGTATATGGCTAATCACCCATCACCTCCTTAGAAAGGCTTTCCCCCATTCTCTAGCACTTCCTATCGTCTTAATTTATTTCTCTTCTTAACACTTATAACCAAAACAATACAAGCTAGCTCAGAACAGAGATAATGTCCACCACTTAATAAACAGGGCTGGCAATGCATCTGGCACTTATTAAGAGCTCAGTAAATTTATGTTTAATAAACAAAATAAGAAGGATTCCTGAAGTACTTGCTTTCTTTCGGTCTATATAAGTCAAGACTAGAGGAAAAACGGCGCTTTCTCTCAAGAGATTTCTGGGGTTAAAGGCAGACTGAATGGTATGGGCTCCTTAAGGGGTAGCAGAAATAGAACCGACTCACACAAATCCATGAGAAGTGAAGAAGAAAAAAAAACCAAACCCGTTGCTGTCGAGTCGATTCCGACTCATAGCAACCGTATAGGACAGAGTAGAAATGCCCCATAGAGTTTCCAAGGAGCTCCTGGTGGATTTGAACTGCCAACCTTTCAGTTAGCAGCCGTAGCATTTAACCACTACACCACCAGGGATTCCTGAGAAGTGAAGAGGCACTGAGAATTGTGAAGAAATATACAAACATACATTTAAATGATGGAATCGGTCATAATTTCAGGCTTTCAACTAGAAAATCAATGCTTCTTTTCAAAAAAATAAGACTTTAAATTTGTTGGGAGGGTTGGAAAATAATGAAAGTAAAATTTCAGAGTTCATAGTGACAAAAAAAAAAACAAAAAAAAACCTGAGAAACAAATATTAGTTGCCATACAATAAGGAACATGTGTGGATATTTCATTTTCTTTGCTTCCCTTCCCTTTCTTTCTTACCCATTTTTTTTTTTTTTAATCTCTAGCCTTAAGAAATTTTGTGAAAGAAAACAAAAGATAAGCCTATATATTTAACAAAATAAATAATCAGTGACCTATTTACACTTCTAGCATTAGTTTCAAAAGCCCTGGTGGCACAACAGTTCAGCACTATCCAAAAAGTTGGTGGTTTGAACCTACAGGGTGGCTCTGCAGGAGAAAGATCTGGTGATCTGCTTCCATAAAGATTACAGCCTAGGACACACTATGGGGCATTTCTACTCTGTCACATGGGGTCGCTATGAGTCAGAATTGAGTGGACAGTACACAACAATAATCATTAACTTTATATTTTTTTCTCACAAAATAGTCTTTCACCTCCTTAGTTAAGAACGTCTATCACTAGGTGATCCAAGCTTGTATGTCCAAATGTAAACAAGAATTGCAAAGAATTAATTTTCCTAAGATAAGAAGAACTTCAATTCTTGCATTCAAACAATGACAGCTGTTCTAAGGTCACAGAGTTAACAATATAACAAACATATACTGTTAATGGTTCCACCTGCTCCAAAAATAAACCTTATAAAGAGCTGTGGTATAATACAAAGAACACTAAATCAGAAGTCAACAGATCCTGGCTGTGCCACTTATATGATTTTGGGCAAGTTATTTGCCTCTTTGAGTTTCAGTTTCTTTATCTAAAAAATGAAAATAATTATTCATGAGGTTTTAGCAATATTTATGACCTAAGTAAGTGTTAATTTTCTTACTTTTTCACAGGGTTGTTTTGCATAAGTTAAAAGAAAATCCAAGGGGAGATTGTAAATTGTATATAATGCAAATGAAAAAAAAGTTACTCTAGTAATTCCTTCAAAGGCAAGGCTGTGTCTTAATCATTTTTAAATCCTAAACATTTACAAATAACATATAAAAGATATTTAAATAAATGATCACTACACTAACGCCTATCAGAAAACAATGATTAAAAAATATTTGTGTATATGTACGCTCATATTTTAAGGCAAATACCATATTTTAACACGGTGTTAGAATGTTTCATGTACAAAGATGACTAAGCCATATCCCTGACTTTAAGGAGCTATCAGCAACGATATTATTTGTAAGTCACTTTAGAATTTACAAAAGATTTCCATATACATGATCACCATGAAGAAGATAAGTTAGTGTTAAAATATTTTTTTAATTCTCATAACAATCACAAATGGATGAGGAAAAGGAAGGTAGGGAGATTAACTGACTTGGCCAAAGTTATATGGCTAATGGGTAGCAGACTTGGGATCAGGGCCAGGCCATAAAATGCTATCAAACGGTACTCTCCCCTCGATATTTGAGTTTGATGGTCAATATGTTTCACTTAAATCTATGGTATATTAATTTATCATGCAAAGTGGAACGCTTTAAGATTAAAAAGGGATGTTATTAATATTTACACAACAACAACAGGCATAAACTGAGACTATTCAGGGCAAATCAGGAAATATGTTCACCTTGTTTAAAGTAGAATTATAATTCAAATTCCTACAGAGAAATGGTTATTCAAAAGTTACACTTAAAACACTTTTTCAACAGTGTAGATTTGTCATTAAAGGCTTATGACAATGATAACTACAGTATAGAGTTCAAGGAAATGTAAAAGATTCTCACCAGTAGGTGAAGATACTGGGTACATACCGAGCTGTCCTCGGCTTCGGCGCACCATTTCTTGCCTAGCTCCTATGCTCCCAAGAATAGCTTCTTCAAGCTTTGCTCTCATGTCTTTTGATTTCTTAAAGGTCAAACTATTCATTCTTTCAAACACTTTCTTTCCCTAAAATTAAAACATTGGAAAAGAAGAGGCATTGAGGAAATTTTCTTCTTCCTTTTCCATACTATGTTTCCTTTCTAGTTTTCTTTGCAATGGTATAATGATCACTTACTTTGTACTCAAAGCAAGATACACAAAGATATAGTAGATCTAATAGCCGGTTTAGCTGAAGGACCGAGAGATCTGTAAACCACTTTTGCAGAACCGTCTCATCTGCATTCTTGAGAACCCACAGTAGACAGATCAAAAGGCTCCGACTTGATTCTGCTGAAAAGGTAGTATGTTGTCTGCTACCCTGAAAATAAACAGCAGTAGAATGAGAAACACTGACCCATGATCATTTCTTGATTTTTTTCATTGCTGTTTTCTTCTAAAACAGTAAGACAAAAATTGCTTAGAAATCAAATATTTTAAAAACACCATTTGCTTTCGACAATGAAATTTAGTAACTTTTTCCTGGCAATAGAAGATCGTTTTAATCTACAGCAGGGCTGAGAGCAGACAATGAATACATGTTAAATAAAATACATAAAGGGAAACACTAAATGGTTCTACTATTATAAGGTATCAAAACTAATGAAAATAAAATAAAAAAGCAAATTGACCCACAGTAAATCAAAGTGGGGTAAGCACACAAAGTTAACAACAAAATAATGTTTATCAGGCTTAGAGAACCATCGTTTCCTATAAAAGGCCAGGGGAAAAGCCTTAGGTTATATATAAGTGAAAATGGCTTTTTATAAAAACAAAGTTGAAATGCTACTTTCAATATTCAATCTGCATTAATATATAGCATGTGAAATATAAATGAAAAACTAAGAATAAGAGCATGTTTATAGTACCATTTACTGGACATTTACAATCATTATGCTAAGCACTTTACATACATTATTCCATTTAATTATCCAACAACATTATGAAGCATGTTGTACTATTTCAATTTTACAGAATGATAATAATAATCATGCCAAATGTGATAATGACAAAAAATAAACTTTTAAATGTGCTAGACACTATGTTAACCACCCTATCTTATTTAACTCTCACAACAATCTTATGAGACAGTATTAACTATTATTATTTCTAGTTTATAGACAAGGAAACTGAACGATAGAGATTTGCCTAAAATCACTACAGTACTGTAGTCCAAGTTTACCAAACTCCAAAGCCTATGCTCTTTACCATTATACTATATTTAATATTTGGTTAATATACTAAATAGAGGAGGCTGGGTAGCACAAGCAGTTTGTGATCAGCTGCTAACTCGAAGGTTGGCAGTTCGAACCCACCAGGCTACTTCATGGAAGAAAGATCTGGCAATCTTCTTCCATAAAGATTACAGCCAAGAAAACGCTATGGCATAGTTCTATTCTCTAACACATGGGGTTGCCATGAGTTGGGGGCCAACTTGACAGCAGCTAACAACAAGGAGACTAAGCAAGAAAAAGAAAGCAATAGAGGGGTCATTGAGAGGAAAGACAGAGGAAAGTTGAACATTGTTAATTGTTGAAGTCATGATCTCAGCTCCTACCTTAGTCTTCTGTCTATCCTGGATGATGATAATTATAGCAGCTAACACATAATGTTTACTCTTGAGACAGGAACTATACTAAGCATTTTACACATATTAACTTATTTACCACTGTGAACAACTCAAAGAGATAAATATTATTACTCATCCCATCTTATAGATAAGAAAACTGAAACATGAAGAAATTAAATATTTTGTACAAAAATTTGGAGTATATCGTTGTCTTAGGCTGGGTTCTCTAGAGAAGCAAAACCAGTAAAGTGTATAAATATGTACATAGAGAGAGATTTATATCAAGGAAACAGCTCATGTGATTGTAGAGGCTAGAACGTCCCAAGTCGGTGGATCAGGGTAGAGGCCTCTCCCAAGTCACACAGCAGCAGAAGCTGGCAAGCCCAAGACTGGCAGGTCAGAGAGCAGGGCTCCCACTCACAGGCTGTGAAGGTTGACGAATTCCAAGATCAGCAGGCAAGACCACGAGGTTTCTCCTGATTCACGTAGCTGCAGGGGCTGGTGAACCCAAGATTGGCAGGTCAGAGAGCAGGGCTCTGCTCATAGGCTGTGAAGATTGACAAATCCCAAGTTCGATAGACAAGCTGACAACTCAAGTCCCAAGAACCGGAGATGAGACAACAGGAGGCAGCTGCAGGATCCAGAGTGAGCAAAAAGCCAGAACGTCTGCTTATATTCAGATGCAGGCCACACCCCCACGGAGACTCCCTTTCATCTGACTGGCTACTCACAGTATATTCAATCATGGGCGTGATCAACTAAAACACTGAGAATCATGGCCCAGCCAAGCTGACACACAATCTTAACCATCACAATGGTGGATCTGGTATATTCAAACACAGAAAGTGTGGCTCCATAGACCAAGCTCTTAATCACTATGCTTACTCCTCTCATGGATGTATGCACAGCTAAGTGAGTTCACCTACATAAACTCACTTAACCACTACGCTATACTGCCTCTGACCTGGGCATAAATAACTAACCCTCTTGCTTCCAAATGTACAATTTTCCTCATAATGAAAATGCTCCTTTATTAAAAAAGCATGCACTTTCTCACAGCTGAGCTTTCAGGTATGCGTAGAGGTAGTGAATAAATTCTCAATTATTTCTTATAGTATTTTTTATAAATGCAATTAAAAAGTATTCTGAACATGACAAACAGACATAGCCTGACATTTCTTATATCCCCCAAATAAAGTGACAATAATGAAATGACAAGTTTGAAGAAAGTTAGACAAATATGAAAAAGGCTCAATAATGCAAAGATGACAGTTTCCCCCCAGATTAGTCTGTAAGATCAAAGCAATTCCAATCAAAATCCCAATAAGGCTTTTCCTTGAAGTTAAACAGATTGATTTTAAAATTTAACTGGGAAGAGTCAAGGACCAACAATAGTGAAGACACTTTTGAAAAAGAATCAGGTGGGATGGGGGACACCACTAATTAGTAGAAATTTGCCACATATATAAACAACATGAGATTAGTATCTAAAACAGTATTCCTCAAAAAGGGTTCCATGAGAGAATTAAGCCCTACAGAAAATGATCTGAGGGTAGGTAGGTAATACCATTCCAGTTGCAAGGAAAGAAGTCAATTCATCACCTACAATAAATGCCTTAGACTGCTATCTCTTAATTTTCTGGTCTCTAGGAATGATCTCTAGAATATAAAAAGAATTATTTCATAACACAATTACCAGGAGCAAGGAACAGGCCCTGGAGTCCCACATTTTTTAGGCAAGATTCATATCTCTTCTTCCCCATCACAATACTTAGTACTACCTGCCTTCAAATCACCAGGATTGATCACATTATGTCCTGTATCGTTGTTTTTATCTGTTACTTTAAAACGCCCACCCATGGAAGTTGTCTTTCACACCACAGATTCTGATCACCATGTAACTTTTTACATTGTCTTTTCTGACCTCATTTGCCACTCTGTCACATCTTCTAAAACCTTCCATTACAACCTCTAGAACTCATGGTCAGTCATCAGCAAAACCACCTACATATTTACTACCTTCTCTGAACATTTATTTTCTTGCTCTACTTAGAAAACCTTTCTCTCTCCCTTGAGGCCAGGAGGTAGGATAGGAGAAATCTCCTTGCTCCTGAATTCTTTAAGCATATTCTCTTCCTCTTCTATAAAAACACGCAGCTTTGAATCTCACTTTATCAGACTATAACACCTGCTCTCATTGCTGCAGTCACATACTGATCCTCAGAACACTAGCCCTTATATCTTGAAGTTGTTCGTTTCTGCCTCACATTCAATGTTTTCAACACTACTCTTGTTGTAGTTCTTGGTGATTTTAATACATTGTATATGAACCTCCAAATATCCTGTGTAGTTCTTTAGTTCCTTAACTAACTCTATTATCAAGAATACCACTTAATTCACACAGGTACCCTCACAGTCAAACCACTTTAAGAGCTAATGGGAGAAAACATAAAAAATGTCAATCAATAAATGTAAACTGAATGACAAAATTAGAAAATTACATTTTTTACAATCCTAAATGAAGTGATTCACAGAAGGATCATCAATAGACGTTAAATCATTAAGTAAAAGGTTGCTTGAAAACTGAATATCAGTATGGCCCCAAAATTTTCACTTCACAGATTACGTGCTGATCGCAAAAAGAGAAAAACGTATCTTTATAATGATGAGATATAGCAGTCACCACCTTAACCAAGTATCAAACTTAGCATCAGTAATAGTGAGACATTGTGTATTAGGTATCTCCTGATGTGATGCTATATGAAGTCACAGCATACCTATAGAATATCCCAGTTAAAAATGTTTAACCTTGGTGTAGGTATAGAACTTTCTAATGGGGAGAATGGCAAGGAGATACCAAGTAATAATAGACTGCCTCAAACCAAGGAAGATAAGGTTAAATTTCAAGGTAACCATAAAGAAAGTTAACAAACCCAATCATCACAATGAAGGAAAAAAAAGTCTCATTAAAAACAAAATCTACAAAAACAAAAGAAATTAAAAAAAAATACACAAACAAAAGGAATTCAGAACAGGAGAATAAGAGGAACAAAGAAAATATCAGCACTGTTAAAAAAAAAACCTACAAAATCACAGCAATAAACTCACATCTATCAATAATCACACTGAATGTAAATGGCTTAAATGTACCCATAAAGAGAGAATGACAAAATGGATAAAGAACAGGATCCATCAGTATGCTGCCTACAAGAGACATACATTAGAAACAAAGACATAAATTTATTAAAAATCAAAGGATAGAAAAAAATAAGCAAACAGCCACCAAAAAAGAGCAGGAGTGGCTATATTAATCTCAGGTAAAATAGAGTTTAAAACAAAATCCACCATAAAAGACAAAGAAAGGCACTATATAATGATTAAAGGGACCATCAATCATGAAGATATAACCAAAATAAACATCTACGCACCTAAAGACAGGGCTTCAAAATACATAAAACAAACTCTAATAGTACTGAAAAGAGAAACTTACATTTCCATAATATTGTAGGAGACTTCAATACACCGCTCTCGTTAAGAACAGAACATCTCGAAAGAAACTTAGCAAAGATACGGAGAGCTAAAGGGCACAATCAGCCAATTTGACCTCAAAAACATATATAGAACACTCAAACCAACAGCTGCAAAGTACACAATCTTTTCCAAAGCACATGGAACGTTCTCCAGAATAGACCACGTCTTAGGTCATAGAGCACCCCTCAACAAAATCCAAAATATTGAGATAATACAAAGTA